GAGAAGTAAAGATAGGACCAGATTTTCCTTGAGCAATTTAATCATATTATTGTTATTTGGTTAATGATAGCAAACTCAAGATATTTGTCTTTCCAATCTGCAAACTGAATCTATTTTCACCCAAATTTAGATGGTACATTCCGTTTCTGTTTTTTAATAAGTCATTCGTGTCAACGAGTGTGAATAAGAAAAAACATTTGTTTTTATTCACTCATGAATCTGAAGGTATTGGTATTTTTAGCCAATGTACAATTTGTTAGCCCTAGCTCCTTATATTACAAACGAAGTATAATGGCATTCCAAATGTACGTAAAGAAAACTATATATATTTATTTATTTAGTATCAAATATGAAATTCTTTAGAAATCTGTTTTGATAGTAGCACCTGAATAAAAGCCATGTATAAATATAGTTCACACCCGTGTCATATAGGCATATAAATTGGGAGTTATATATCTGTAGAATGATGATATATATGTATTATTGATGTATACGTATTTTTCCATTGTATGTTGTGATCTGTTTTTTAAAAGAGCATTAATAGAGCCATCATAAGCAGCAGTCAACAACATTGTCTAGTCTGAGCGAAGGGTTTCTCGTGTTGTTAGTCCCTGTTGACTCGAGTTGACGTCTAGTCCTTTGCAGAATCTGCAATTTGGTATGGGTTGGAAAGAAGTGTGATTGTGCGTGCGTGCGTGCGTGCGTGAATGCGTGTGAGTGACCCATGCTACTCTCATAAAGCGAGATTCCGACAGTCGTTTTTGTTTGTTCTAGATTGTAGTTTACATTTGTTTATAAGTGGAAGTATGCCCCCGTGAATTGTATTTGCCCTGCGTCAGTAAGCACGGCAAGAAGAAACTATATTACTACTATATATACTATAGCTGGACCAAAGATTTAAATTGTTGTATTTGTTTCGGTTGAAGTTTTTATCATCTAAACTAAATGGACCAAAGATATAGAACTTTTTCTACTCGTTATGTAATATTTTATTTCTAGCTGAGCGTGCTTACATTTTAATGTATACATGTATGTGTCATTTTACTTGTACAAATTGCATTGAACGTCGACTGCCACATGTGCCCAGTCGTGCAATAGATCTAGAAGAGATTCCTTTTTGTGCAGCTACAGCACATGTTAGCATAAATATTCTTGATGTTAGTGTATAGATGATTTGTGTTTTACTACAGTCACGTTTACTATCGTGTGTGATATTGCAGTATTATAATTAATAATGGACCAATTTTTACAAACAAAATCTCAACATATTTTATGTATTTTTCTCTCAATTGTCCGATCGTTACCATAGCTTCCGTTTTACGCGACATCAGATAATTAGTTTAATTATAAAATTGAAAGAGGCAGAACTTGGCATTCAGGGTTCCATAAGTACAGGTACACGTGACTGTGCACCCTGCTACACGTGAAGTTATAATGCTTGCAAAAACCTCTTTATTATTAATTATTAACTACAAACTATTATTTATGGACCGTGTGTGCGGACAAAGTGTTATGACCTAAAACGGCCTGTCAAGCATCTGTGGGCGGGGTTTTGACCCAAACCGAGATTGGCTGAGATGCACTTGAAAGCCAATGCCAACACTGCGTGTGGGTACTGTTCGTGTTGGACACACAGCTGCTAGTGCTAGACGTCATGCAGCCCTCCTCGTGCACCAGCACGAAAACGCCGCATAGCGGCCGCCAATACAACTAACCTGCACTATTCTGAACACGTTATCGAGTCCCTTTAGGGTATAGGGGATAACGATTTGGAAATCGTCCACCGAGAGTTCTGTTCATAGCACGAGGGTTTTTTGAGTAGCCACGAAGCTGGGGCACGGCTCGAAATGCCCCACAAAGATTTTTGGGTAATGTGCGCGCGTCCTATAGGCGTCAAAAACAGAATTTAAACGTTTTCCGTCGAGACATGCCCACGGCAACTGCCAATCACCGACACGTGCTCACCACACCGTGCGTGCACGTGATAGGCCAGCTCTGTTGCTGTTCTTTACCCGTACTCTCAACCGGCCAGGTCGGGCCGTCTACATAGTACACGTTTGAAACATAGTCTACGGATCGAAGCCATTCTTAAATCTAGCACTAGCATTGCGTGTGTCCAACCGCGACAATACCCACACGGCGTGTTGGCATTTGGCTTTCAAGTGCATCTCAGCCAATCTCGGTTTGGGTCAAACCCCGCCCACGGATGCTTGACCAGGCCGTTTTAAGTCTCAGCACATAGTGCCTGCCAATAAAACACTTTGTCCGCACACACGGTCCATAAATTAAATTAGTTTGTAGTTTAATAATTAATAAGAAAGAGGTTTTTGCAAGCATTATACTTCACGTTGTAGAGCAGGGTTGCACAGTTCACGTGTACCTTGTACTTAAGGAACCGCTGAATGCCGAAGTTCTGCCTCTTTCAATTATAATTACAACTAATTATCTGATGTCGCGTGAAACGGAAGCTTATGTTACGAATCGGCAATCCAGCCCCAGTTTTGAGAGAAAAATACATTAAAATATGTTTGAGATTTTGTTTGTAAAAATTGGTCATTATTTAGTTATATACCTGCAATATCACACACGATAGTAAACGTGACTTGTAGATAAAACACAGAATCATCTATACACTAACACTCAAGAATATTTATGCTAACATGTGTCATGTAGCTGCCACAAAAGGAATCTCTTGCTAGAATTCTATTGCACGACTGGGCACATTGTGGCAGTTGACGTTTCAATGAATTTTGTTACAAGTAAATTACACATACATGTATATATTAAAATGTATTGCACGCCCTAGCTATAATTAAATATTATATAACGAGCTACGAAAAAGTTCTATATCTTTTGGTCCATTTTAGTTTAAGATGATTAAAAAACTTCAAACCGAAACAAATACAACAATTTAAATCTTTGGTCCAGCTATAGTATAGTATAGTATTTAAATAGTTTCTTTTTGCCGTGCTTTACTGACGCAGGGCGCTAAATACAATTTCACGGGGAGGATACATTCCAACTTATAAACAAGATGTAAACTACAATCTATGAACAAACAAAAAACGACTGTCGGAATCTCGCTTTATGAGAAGTTAGCATAGGATCACTCACACGCTATTCCCGCAACGCACGCACGCACTCTCAACAATCACACTTTTCTTTCCAACCCATACCAAATTGCAGATTTTGCAAAGGACTAGATGTCAACTCGAGTCACAGGGACTAACAACACGAGAAAAACCCTTCCCTCCCAGGGATAGACAATTGTTGTTGACTGCCTCGCAATATATGATGGTCTATTAATGCTACTTTTTAAAACAGAATACAACATACGCAATGAGAAGAAATTACGTATACATCAATAATGGCATATATATCAGTCATTCTACAGATATATAACTCCCAATTTATAGTCTATTGACGACGGGTTGGTGAACTATATTTATACATGGCTTTATACTTCGGGTGCCACTAATTCAAAATCAGATTTCTAAAGAATTTCATATTGATCTAAATAAATAGAATATATAGTGTTTTTCTTTAGCGTACATGTGGGAATGCCATTTTACTTCGTTTAATTGTAATATAGGAGCTTGGGGCTAACAAAATTTTTACATTGGCGTAAAAATCCAATACCTTCAGATTCAGGAGTGACATAAAAACAATATGTTTTTTCTTATTCACACTGCGTTGACAACGAAGACTTATTAAGAACAGAAAATGGAATGTACATTCTAAATTTGGGTGAAAATAGATTCATGATTTTGCAGATTGGGAAAGACAAATATCTTGAGTTTGCCATCATTAACCAAATAACAATAATATGATTAAATGCTCCAGAAAATCGTGGTCCTATCTTACTTCTCTCATGTGCATGCATGCACA